ACGTATGGGCATTGCCAGTATGTTACACTAAGAGTGTGTCAGACTTTGGTAAGCAGGTGGAAGTGATCCAGACAACATGGCTCTAGTAGGCAGAGAGGTAGACTTCAACTCAGCTAAGAGAAAACTAATGCTGAACAGATTATTGTTCTAACTGACTGCTCAAAGAAAATGGGACTGCCGTTGTATCATTATACAAACTGACAGCAACATGTCTGGTCAGATTAATTTTGGTGAAACTTTCATTTTGCAGAATCAGATTTCTAGGCGTGAAATACTCAACTAAGTGACACAATCTCTGCAAAGAATTCAGAGAGGTGCCCAGCAGCCCTGGCATAAGCTGAAGCACCATTTCTCCACGAGATAACACATACCATGTTATCGCATAACAAACAGAAGGCCCTTAGATGCTGTCACCACGGTGCAGTATTAACACAAATAACACAAATGAGCCAGCTACAGTCTGTTAGCATGTGGTATGGAGAATGTGGGCACCCAATGCTGGCCAAATAACACACATGGCATGTATCACCCAACAAATACTTTGTGATAGGGTACTGAATGCAGTTGGCTGCTTTGTTTCAGGGCATCCTGCAGACAATGACCTCTGCAGGGATATTATTTGGCCGTGGCATGTGACAGAGTTAATTCTATTTTCTGAACTCCAGGGGCTATGAAGCAATTTCAGGAAATAGATGAATAAACCAGCCTTTCATTTCTGAGAAGTCACACTCCAATTGCTAGCTCAGGTCACAAGTTCAAATGTCTGTGGGTTCCTAGCCTATTGTCAAACTTCATACTGCAACTCCAACGAAGAGCTTGGCCTGATGTATCTAGTCTCTGCTCAAGGAGAGCCAGGGCTGGAGCAATGATTGGAGTTCCAAGCCAGGAATAAGGTGCATTGGTAGAGCTGGGAAGGTCCTAGGATTGGTATTGTAGGGGGGATGCAGAGGAGGAACGAAGCACATGGGAAAAGAGGCGCGGCGAGTCTGTATGTTTAGAAGCAGGTCTGGATTGAAGTGAATCTATGATGTCACTTTCACTTCTGTCCCCTGTAGCTTGTCTGAGCTGAATGTTATACCATACAAGGGCATATTCAGCAACAAAAAGGAAAGTTTATATTTCCTGTCAGTTTCCAAACCCATTTCCAGATGGGCCTCCTAGTCTTCAAAGCTCTCCTGGACTTGTTCCTTCACTTCTCCCAGTTCTCTGATCTTATGCTTTCCAGCTGTGCTTTTCCAGCTCATGCCCTGCTGTCTTCCAATTTCCATTCCCCTTCCATCCCCCCAACCTTGGACCCACTCAGTCCCTCTGCTTCCCCACTCTGTTCTCCCACGGGAACGCTTGCATTTAAGTTTGCTCTCTCATTTGGCTGGCCCTATGTATCAAGGCAACACTGACATGTTTTACATGTTGTTCTTTAAGTAACAGAAACCAGCCTTTGCACTTTGAGGACTCCAATCCATGTTTCAGATTCAACTGCAAACAAACCCCCACACTCTTTTTGTGAGTTGCCTCTAACCAGTTGCAAGAATGACATTGGCAGCAACAGGAATGTAAACACGCTGGCCAACGTCTGCTAGCATAGCTTGCATGAGAGGGCAAGTTACTGTGTGAGACTAGAGCATGGGAGAGGCTGCACAGCTGGTTTTCTCTGTGAGCATTTTGCATCTGTATGTTAAGTTAGCAGCAAATAGTTCAGGGTGGCAGGGTTTCCCATGGAAAAAAATGAGACACCCTCCCTCAGCAAGTCAGGAACCATCTGCACCCTCCTCGCTGAGCCTGACCCAGCTAGCCTGCCAGAGTGCAAT